AGATGGACTGGAGGGAGGGCCTTTCTTCTTGTTCAGGCTAGGCCTGATAGAGATGTCCTGCCTTCTCTCCCTCAATGATGGTGGATGGAGGGAGGGCTCTTCTTCATGTTCAGGACAGGCCCGATGGAGCCAGCCTGCCTTCTCTCCCTCGATGTTGCTGGAAGGGCCCTTCTTCTTGTTCAGGCTAGGTCCAATGGAGATGGCCTGCCAATAACTCTGTCTGCTCAGGTTGACACTAAGCAATGCAATGCAGTATCTTGGTCTTGGAGTTCTCAGTTAAGGTAAGGTAAAATGAGGTTCATACACACATCCAGAACATTTTTTCCAGTTCACAGTATGGAATTGGTAACTGGGTGGCAACCACAGGGTTGGAGGACATTAAAATCCAGGATGTTGGATCCAGATCTGCAGCACCTGGAGCTGCAGCTACTGTGGCCAGAATCCTGTTGTTTATGATTACTACCAATGAGCCATAGGGTTTTAAAGTTGCCTTTCCAATTGCCATCAGAAAATCTGCAATTATATCAGTAAAAAAAACCCAAACCCACCCCCACCCCGTTTGCTAAATTCTTGGTTATGCCCATTACCACTCAATAGAAAAGGCTTCCCCTTTCAAGTCCTGTTCCCCTGCACATTTTACCTGCAGCTTAGCCATGTTGTTCTCTGCATCTGGTAGCAGCTCCACAGTCTGTCCCTTCACACGCAGGGCCTGTTCCTGTTCCATCACTCCTAACTGTCCCTGTCGCACCTCTCCTTCCACCTGAGCAAGAAATGGATAGACACAGATGCATGCATGCATGTACATTACTAGGTACATACATATGTACACACACATACACCCCAATTAAGATAAATGAAGAGGAAGTTCGAATAGTGCCATCACTTGTTAATATGGCAACACTTTATGCCAGGAAAAATTCTCCTGCATGAGTTGCATAGAAATCAACAAGGAGGTCCCAAAGAACATGACTGTGCTGTTGTGAAGTCCTTATTTGTTTCAAAGGGGCTTACTTGAGAATCTTCCAGTGGATTATGCTCTTTGGGTCAATACTGTCTTTCTCTTGCTCTGCCACCCTTCACAAGCCTCATAAAACCACATCAGGGACCCAGAATCCTTCAGTCAGCCATTCCTCTCCCCAAAGTGCCACACTGATGCTTACAGTTGTCTCAAGTGCCTGTTCTGGTGGCAAGGCAGGGTATAAATTTATGGGGTAGTGATTTGAGTGTTGGACTAGGGTCTCTGGGAGATTAGGGATGAAATCCCTGCCTTTCCACCAGAAACTCACTGGGTGACCTTGGTCAAGTCACACTCTCTCTGCCCAAGAAGCCGGCAAGGACAACACCCTTCTGAGCAAACTTTGCCAAGAAAACCCCATGATAGGTTCATGTTAGGGTTGCCATAAATCAAAAATGAATTGAAGGCACACAACATGAAAAACAGGTTATAAATTATATACAGTAACATACAGACAAGGTGAGAGAGATCATTTCCCTCCAAGATGGCACCAGGTGGCCAGATAGCAAGAGTGCTTCCATCCCATTTTGTTCTCACCTGTGTCAGGGTCAGCCCCAGTGTAGACATTTGACTTTCGAGCTCTGTAATTTGCCCCCCGAGGCGGTCCAGCTCACTCTCTAGGGCTTCCAGTTCTGCTGCCTGGTGTTCCTGTAACTCCTGGAAAGAGAAAAGGGAAAAAGAGGGAGGTGAGGGAGGAGCAGGACATGGCAGTAGCAGGGGGGGAAAGGAATCAAAAGGGTTTCTCAAGAGTTAGCGTTTTTTTGTGGGGGGCAAGGAAGGATGGAAAGGGAGGATTGTATCTAGAATTTTTTCTTCAGAAATGCCACAGTATGCAAATATTTTTATTTTCAACAGGGGTTGATGTTAAACAGATTCATAGGGGGAAAATTAATTTTGGAAACAAGTTTCTGTAGTATGCTAGGATTCTTTATTTATTTTAAAGAGGAAGTTAAGATCCACAAGACATCACCAGGTGCTGCAGGCTAGAGCAGCATTTCTAGTGACTGAATTACTTCTTCTCTAATATGAGGTGAACTGTTGGCTAGGGAGGTATATTTATGTTTACAACACAGGAGCAACAAAGGTGTGCTGCACTGCACACTTGCCTTATTGCAAATACAAAATAATTATCAGCAACCAGTTCCAAATAATCCTCACAATATTAAAGAGGGCAGCTTGCCAACAAATGTTTAAGAATGAAGAGAATGTTACCAGCAATGCCCATTGGTGTATCCTGAGCCCTCAATAGATTCTGATGGGCAAAGTCTCCATGCCCAGGCCAATGTCCCTCCTTCACTTCTAAAGTGATGCCCTTAACTATAAACAAAGTACAGGTTTCAGCCCCAAAAGCTGATTCTTGGCCTGGCTTTTTTATCACTCTTCCAACTAAGTACATGCTAAGAACATACTGCAACAGGTCTCCAACACTTTCATTCCCTTTTTGTTTTCTTCTGAGCACAGTTCATGGTTCTGCTTATAAAACCCTTGACACACCTTAGGCCCAGCATTCTTCAGGTTAGAGGAGGAGTAAGAACAGTGGGGAGCCTTTGGCGTTCCAGATGTGTTGGACTTCAACTCCCAAAGGCCTCAGCTGTCACAGTCAGAATTGAGAGGGTTGTAGAAAGGGTAGCCTAAAATGTCCAGAGGACCAAACATCTCCCACCCCTAGATCAGAGATGGACACTTCACATACATCCTATTACAATGTTTGAGATTTGCAGTAGATGCTCTCTTAACAATATTCTCTTGCTATCAGGTTCAGACAGCAAGGAAACAAGAAATAGATTTGCTGCAGCAGCCACCCCCTGCCAAGTTCTGTAATTACCTCCTCCTGGCAACTCACAGTTCAGTCTTGGACACTTTTCATAAGTGTTTCATAATTGTCTGTTTGGGCTCTCAGGGCTAAGTCAGCAAAGGCCATGGGTTTTCTTAGTGAGATCTTAAGGTGACATTTATTCACATTTGCTCATGGCTTCACCCTTTTGTTCCTTACCTGCTCTCAGCCTCTGGAAT